GCATTTCACTCTATCAGAAAAGCTTTATTTGAGTGTTTAGGTAGTTCTACAAGTGTGATTGAATTTGACTGTAGTCTTGCTTTTTCCTCGCACTTACATCCATGAATGATCGACTTTCATGACCTACCGGATTTGCATCATCACAGAATATCAGCTAACGAAGTGTTTTTACTTGGTCTTTTATTGGACATAAAATGACACATTGCTGCTTTGCAGCTTGAACCGCATTGGCCGAGTTTTCATCTCTGTTGTCTTCAACAAATAGTAGTTCTCTCGTAATATATTTCAATTTATATCTGTCACATATATTGTTGAATGGTGACCACGTGGTTACCTTTTGTTCAAATTAGGACATTGTAATTATGAAAAAAACCTGTGAATAGTGAATATCATTTCCTGATATACAAGTTGCACTTTCTACTCAATTGGGAGTCTGTTAAAGCTATAGCAACGTATGAATAACAGGTTTCACGAGAGTGTGGATACGACTGAGTGTGCAGGTATGCAATCGTAGGCATCAATGATTACTGTTTCATAGCTTGGTGGTAGGTCAGTTTGCTCGAAAACAGAACTTGTATTGATGGGGATCGTGAAATCATAATTTTGTTGTTGCTGATGCAGCCATTCCGATATTGCTTCTGTACCGACAATGACCGGAATGCTCACTTCAAATTTAGTAAAAATTCCATGCGATTTCACTTTTAGTCGGAGCTGATAATGAACGGCAATATCGTGCGAATTGTCATCATATGATGTTGTGAACTTATATGTAGGTGTTAGATAAATAGAAGACACAAGCATATCAAAATTACGTTGTAACTATAATTCATTGAACTCGCTGAAACCTGATAGATCAACAGAAAAGATTATTTCATTGTGGTAGTCGAGATCAATTTCTCGATGTTGAACGAATATCGCTTCGATTCTTTTGATTCTAGTTCGTTCAGGATTGTGAAGATTTATCTGAAAGGAAAGCGATTAACCGGGCAAAATGCCACCACAAAGTAGATAACCTTGCAGATGGAGTTGTTTACGATTCTGATTAGCAAAGGAAAATGTCTCTTGGGCATGACTCATGTGAAAAAGATTCATATGAGGAAAAATCGTCAGAAGATAAGTTTGTGCAACATTCTTTTTGTACCATGGTCTGTTGAGAACAAGTCGAGTGTAGTATTTAATATGAGGGTAAGCCTCCGAATTTGGACATGACGATGGAGGAAAGTTTACGGGAAGATTGAATTCAAATGGGCACGTATATGTGCCATAACTAAGAATCAATTTATCCTGTAGTAATGGCAAAAAATCAAGTATGTCACAATAATGTCATCAATAAACTCTTACTTGTCCATCGCTGGGTCGAACGAGAGGTACACGAATGGTCAATAATGGTATGTGATGATAATCAGTGTAATATTCCGTGGTCAAGTTTCCATTAGAATCAGTAGAAGAACGGGTATCTTGTGTTCTATAGGCAAGTTCACCGACACGTTCGACGAATATCTCTTCTAATTTCAGTCTATCACGGTCATTTTGAAACGAAATATTGCCTGATATCTGTTCACCAGCAAAGTAAAAACAACTAGATCGGTTGAAATTCATTTGAATAGCGATACTTTCACTTGAGCCCATCGTTTCTGTTATCAATGTAACTGTGTGATAACTCGAATATTAAAACGCAAACAACAGATTTATCTTGTAAAAACATATGGTGCATGCATATGCGTATCATTTGATTACTAAGAGAGGAAAGAATGTAATTGTTACCCAAACAATTTTTTCTTCTTCATTAAGATAAGGTGTATCGAGTTTCATATGGGTGGCCGCATGAAGAAAAGATCGATATCTACACCATCTGACACTACACATGATTCAGCAGCTACTAGTGAAGTCCTCTATCAAAAATGTCTCTATAGATACAAATCAAATACTCGAGCAAGAACTGATCAACACCGTGAAGTTTCAGCTGACGAGGAAAGTTCTCCGAGTGATTAATCGCTTTTTCATCGAAACATAAATGGTTGTATGCAGTTCATTTCGATGATTTCGAATATCAGGGTCTTACTAGCTCTTAGGCCTTTCTATATTCTCGATCATTACTCTGAAACCCCTTCTACTAAGGGTATTTCTCACCATATTCAATTTTTTCATTAGTCTATCATGTGCCACCGAACAAAATATTCATAGAAGTACTTTCTTTATAGACACTTCAACCCTAAGTTTCAAATATTGAGCTATAAAGTAGTGAAGTAATTCGTATAGTGACTACGAACAATCATCTGACATTCCCATTCGTTTCATCAGCATATATGCACACATTAATCATAACTGTATGATATTCGGCAAAATATATAATAATGGAAGAAATAGAAAACACGTATGTTGATTTCTCAAAATATAAATCATTGGCATTGAGAGGAAATAGTTCTAAAACAAGTGATAAACTGAGCGAGATTATGTAATACGATGCATAAGATACAATTATTTCTTAATCCTTCATTGTATGAAAAATTTTAACCCCAAAAGAGCACTTTTGCATATTTAGTCATTTTCTATTTTATGATTCATCTTAACATTTGAAACTTAAGACTGAAGTGTCTATGAAAAGTATTTCTGTGAATATTTTGTCATGTGACATATGATAGACTAATGAAAAGATTGAATATGATGAGAAATACCCTTACTAGAAGAGGATTCAGAGTAATCATGGCGAATGTAGTTTTTATTTCATGGCTACACGTTTCTTTTAGAATTTAGAGTTTCCTCAAGAAAAAAGAGCAAATCTTGAAAGAATTCTTCTTGAACCGGGTAAGGATCTGGAGAAACGTTCCAAAATAGTAATGTTTCGCTCTGCAAAGCCCTTGAGTTTCGAAATAAGCACAACCTGATGACAGGTAAACATAATGATCTGCATTACTGTCTTTAGTTTTACATAAAAATGCATTGTAAAAAAATGAAGACGTAAGTGTAACAATCATGTATTCGTTCCTTACCGTCTCTAACACATCCTCACTCTCACCTCACTCGAGTCACTACAGAAACTGATTCTCTTGGTATAGGTGTGAGTCTTCTGCTCAATCATATTTACAGCCCCATTCACACTTTAGATTTCCATTAACCTTATTTACCATGTTGCTCAGGTCATTAACTGAAATCGGTTCCTTCATCGAACTGCTCACGTTTCTATAGTTCCTTTCTTGGGCGAAATGAAGTATTTCAGTTAAGTGAGGTCACATTAGCTATATACCAGGTGATCCACAAGTTTACAACATTTTGTGTTTTGCACATATATATGTTCAAGTAAAAGATAAAATCTTGAATTTAATTTTGGAAGATGTGCAATTCAATCCTCTAAAAACTTGCAGTTAACGTAATATAAAATAATAGACCTGAACCTTTCTATGGATCAAATAGTATGATGATATGAAATGCATATATTTCCCACATATTCTCTTATTAAATTATTTTTTCTTTACGAGGGAACGTTTTGCTTTTAGAAATAATAGACGGTAAGACAGCTCTTTATAAGACACAACTTTTGGCAAAGAAATATTTTGAGAACCGGCAAATTTTCTCTCCGTTATCCAACGCTAGACAAACAGGTCTTAAAAATGTGACCGGTGGCCAAATCGAGTTCACGTTTGCAAGACTGTCGCAAACGGAATTCTCTTTCTAAACGACGCTAAAAAACCATTTGATACAACAATTCAATTGGGATAAGAATCTGAACGATTCGAAGAATGTTGTTTCTACCGTAGAATATATGAGAGGTCATTTTTATTAATCCTAAATAGATTGTAATAGAACGTAGATGAATCATTCTAAAAGACCATTAACATGTCATAGTATTGGTAACAATTAGATTTAAAGCGTCTGTCTAAAACACGAAAAAGTCAGAAAAAGTGTAATTAGAAACAGGTGTGGGAAGTAGATACAATTCACATAATCTTACAATTTAATCCACAAAAATGCTCAGTTCTTTTATTTTACATTGAGTTAAATACAGATTTGTAGAGAATCGAATTGCGCATCTTCCAAAATTATATTTAAGATTTTATCTTTTGTCTGAATTGAGATATATGCAAAACAAAAATGTTGCAAAACGTTTGGATCACCCAATATATTATCTATTAACTATTTTTTAACTTTATGTCGTGTTACAAACTTTTTAATTGCGATATCTTTATTTCTTTTGATATTGTTTTCATTAGAAGAACCATAAACAAGCAATATGTCAAAACCAAATGAAAGCAGATGATTCGAGTTATACATAATGAATTCTCTCTATACGCATTCAACAACTCGGATTGCATTCATTTTTCTTTTCCTCCTTTTTCAGTTACACTATGGTTCTAAAGGGACATTTGTATGTCGAATATCGATATTGAGAAGTTGATCATCAATCTAACTCTCTTTCTTGCTCGTCAAAGAATAAACTGTTTGCATCACATGGAAAACATATGTAGAAATTAGTACTCAAAATGTGTGCGAAACATGACAGACCAATAATATCTTATGAAATAAGTTTATGACATAAGACAAATACTCAAACGAAGCTTTTTCTTCTATATTCTCCAATAAACAGATCTCTGAGCAGCAAACTTCAAATATACCGTAATAAAATACTTCCTTTATCAGAATGTTTTTTGAAAACATTTCTGTCATATTTCTAATTTTAACACAAAATCAATGTTTCTTTTTCATCACTCTGACGAAATGATTAAATCTCATTATAAATAACTACCGAATGAGATCTAAGAGAGTTTTATTTTGAATTGACTTTTGAAGTGTTAATGAAGATTGTTGTGTTTCACCTTGATTATATATAATTTATTTGAGTAACTTTTTCACTATGTTTTTCCGGCTATACTACTACTTTAGAACAAAAGCAGACAAAGAAAGAAAAAAAAAATAATTTTCTTCAAAAGTAAAAAAGTATATGTCAAATGATAAGTAGTGTGTTCGCAGCATTAACTTGACCTATATTGTTAAATTGATTGGAAATGTATCGTCTTGGATTGTTATTACTCTTATTCAATGTAGTTGATGCCGAAAGTCATTCTTCAACTTTAATTCTATCAGGTCTAGGTACCATTTTTCAACCGGTGAATATTATTGAACTCATTCGTACATTCAATGCTAATACTTTACTTCATTGTTCAATAAAATGTAATAACGATGTGCATTGTCGAACGATCGATTATGATTCGATATCAAAACAATGTCGCCATTTTGCCGGTGAAATTTCCACAGGTACTATTATCTCGTCGAATTCACCAACGTCAACAGTTGGTGGTATAATTTACACACCAGATTACTACCTATCTTACAATAAGATGAGTGATCAGTGCCAGACGAGTCGATACTTAGTCGTGAGTAGTTCTTCAAATTTATGCACCTGTCCCACAGAAACATTTTGGAATGGAAGTATGTGTTTGAATCAGCTATATACTGGATCAACGTGTTTGTCTGATGAATGGTGTCGCACCGATTTGAATCTCTTCTGTGATATGTTTTATCAAATTTGTAGTCCAAATGTAGATTCACCAACACTCAAATATTCATCGATTGAGCTGAGTTCCACAATAACAAATATCAGTACCAGTAAATTTCGTTTGTTTACATTTAGTTGCTATTGTTTTTTCTTTTAGTCGAGAGCACATTCATGGAAACATCTGCGTTCACTAGTTCTCTTTCAACTAGTTCAACAATAACAAATTCTTCAATTCTAATCAATTATACCAACGTCTATCCGGCACCGGTAGCAAGTCCGAATGCAGCAGCTCAGTGTAAGTTTAAATCTTTAGAAACATTTTCGATAACAATATACATTTGAAAATTATCGTAATAATAATTAAAATAGTTAAGAATGATTATTTTCATATGAGCAGATTGTTCAACATTGAAAGAAATTTCAGATGTTTATGATCTGATGTTTTCAAAATGATGCTAATTCATTTTAATTCTGCATATAGTCAACATTATTTAATCTGTCATTCATTGACTTCATTAAATATTTATCTTATACAAAGCTGTATCTTTGTCATTTAAATCAAGTAGTGAAATTTGTTATGTGTTTAGATCGAGACTGATGAGAACAGTTCTATATATTTGTTAGCAAATTTTCTTTGTAAAAATATAAGTGCTTATTCGTAGTTTCATTCATAAACTGTTTATTTTTAGTGTATAGTGTCAATCTGCTAATGAATGGAGATGGTGAAACAGGTCCGTGCGCTATGTCAATTAATGTTACACACCCAACCGTATGGTCATATGTTGGAACGATCACACAAATATCATACAACGATTATGAATATGGTGCTTTAGATCCAACTTCACCAGGCCCTAGGTATTGGATAGGAAATCACCAATGTCTCAGAAATAATGAGCTCTCTGTATTTTAATCACATGTTTCTTGATATTAATGTGTTCAGACTTCATTTTTTCTAAAGATAGGTCTTTTTATGCTCTACATAATGATATGTTTTTTATTTATGTAAATCATGTCCATCGTTCTTTAAGAGAGACGCTTTAAACGAAGAATCCAACATAAACAATTTTGTAAAAAAAAAATCTTGCGAAGTTCTTGAACAAGTGTGCTTGATGATTGAGGTATGGCTGACCTATGGTACCCCACCCTCGGAGCAAAAACTCAACGGAGCCATGAGGTTTTGAGGAAACTTTAGTTTCATTTTGATGTCATCTCTTTCCGTTTACTTCCGTGTGACTGATCACCCAACAACGTTCTTTTTGGAAATTATATTTTCCGTCTATATGGACCATTTTTTCATTTGAAAAAAAAGATGCAGCGTATCATGCTTTCAACAATTTTTTGAGTGTTGTATTCTTTAGACAAACTTCGAACAGAAGCTACGTTCTTTTGGTGAAGTTTACGCTTTACTGTTTGAATAATTGTACTGATCCGAGAAAGACATGGTCTACTCGGTAGTGTTGACAGCTGGATAGAACCAGTATTTCTGATCATCTTACATCATTATTTGATGCTAGTGAGTCTCACGAAGCCGTTTAAATCACGAAAGATCTTGGTTGGGTCATTATCATTTTCGCACTTACAAAAAGCATAGTTTTCGAAGATTTTTACTTTTCATCCTATAACAAAGACATAATAGGCTTGAATAAAACATAATAATCTAGACAAAAAAATAAGTCTGTACAAGGGAGAATCAATACAGATGTCAGTAAAATACTGAGAGACCTATTATTTTTGGGATAACCGTTATGTTATTGTGCACTTCTGTTTTCTATTGTAGTGATCGTGGAAATTGTTATTTTTGTGGCATGTTCGACGCTGTTACAACCATGTCACAATCTATCGACTTGTTTCCATATGCGACTGCCATTGCTAGTGGAAATGTTTCATTCAATTTGTCCGCTTGGTTAGGTGGTTGGACCAATCAGGATGATTCAGCTAAAGTTTCAGTCAATTTTCTTGATTATGCCTATCAACCTGTTGGTAATCAAACAACAATTGGCCCTGTTCTAGCTGCAGACCGTGGCTTTACTTCATCATTAATTTTTCGTCAAAATTCAGGCATGATACCAATAAACACGCGATACATGACTGTGATCGTCACCTTGATATGGCATTCAGGAAGCGAAAATGATGGATACATAGATAATATTAGTGTTAAACTTAGATACAGCTAATCATCAATGTCAGACTGCACTTAGATACGATGAATGTTGTCCAAATATATACGTATTTGAATGTAATTCGAAACGTTGCTGTCACTTTTCATTCTATTTCTATTAGATGCAGTAAGGTTCGCATGATTTGCAGCACGATAATAAATGACATGAGAATCTGGATAATAGTTTTTATGTCATTCAACTAAGAATGATATTGATTAGATTGCTCGATTCGTCTTCTTTTTTTTATTATGGTAAAGACAAGACATGAATGATCATATTCAGTTATATGCACGACTGAAAAACATTTTGACAAAGATTCATTTATCTGGAAACTTTATGCATTTGATGGTAAGAACGTGAATGAAAAGAAGACACACTCTAACACTCACATTCACACTTTTCGAATGACTTCTCTCTACAGAATATGCTATCCTACGAGCTCTCAAGAAAAGGCTTTTCAGAGATCCTCTGCAGATTTTTAAAATAGGCACATTTGATTCGTCATCGTTTCTTACCTACTTCAATCGATTTTCATTTGATTTCAATGAAAAGTGAGCATTTTCTTGTAACAACGTTTTTTCCCTGTTTTCTTTGATATTAGTAAAAGTGATTTTTCTCGACAATGAAACGAAGAGAGAAAAAAGCCATGCATTCTATTGTAACTCATGATATGATGAATCAAATAGAACAATATATTTTACTTCTCCAATAAACAGAAAAACTAGATAGGTCACCAAAAATGGCTGATATACTTGTAGTCGGCAGTTCACGCTTCATCGAAGCATAAATAAAAAATATTAAAAAAAATTCAATGAAAAAATTTCGAATTGTGAGTGCCTTACAAGAAATCGAAAAGAAAGACTCTAAAATTTAAAAATTAATCATGTCTTCTTTTTTAATTTTCACAATATTTTATTTGTTTCTTTAAGGTTAACAGGAAAAAACACAACAAAGTTACCTAATATTTTAACGATAGTCTATTGATGACAACAAAACATTTGATTATTACAATATTCGTACCGTAAACTTGTCTTATTTCATAAAGGAATTAAACATACATGAAAACGAAGACGTATTTAACTCTAATTATTTATATATGTAAAAATAGTTTTCATCAGAAATGCCACACTCTCATGAATGTTATCAGTAAGTGGTAAGTATTAACACTTACCACTTAGCACTTATCTGTAAAAAGTAGGTGTTACCACTTACTACTTACCCTTTATCAACTAAGTGGTAAGTGGCATTTCTAGGGAAGTATGCATGGTTTTCTCTTGACTAATTATATTATCGTATGTGATTTTCTCTGTGGCTCAGATTGGTTAAATAGTCTTTATCATAAATTCCCTTCCTAACCCAAAAATTCCGGCTTCGCTATTGAATCCAATCACTGGATTCCTGTTTCTAAGTTCCTATTATTTTCTCGAGCTTCCCGGTCGGAAATGACATTTTCTATCGAACATCTGCTAGAAATACGGATACCGAAATTATTGAGAATGTGAGTGGAACTTGGGTAAAGAGACAATGAACAACCACATCTTTTATTTTCATTTTCGAAAAATTCATTGTATCTGAAAATTGAAAAATAAACTAGATGATTTTATAGAAAATTTCATGGGAGCATCTTTAAATATATATATAGCTTGATATTGTGAAAACTGATCGAGTTATGATCAAAATAGTGAGGCAGTCATTTATTCGAATGCAACCTGTACTTATCTTAAAAATCTTTCTGTTAAAAATCCCATTTTTCATTAGCTTTCGAACATAGATTAACTATTTATTTTATATGAAAAGGGACAATAGTCTTTAAATGTGTCTATTCTGTAACAATATTTATTTATTTTTTACTAAAACGAACTATTACCAAAATCTTGTTTAGGGATTTCATATCCTCACATCATTTATAGCAAAACAAAAAATATTAAAGCACGATGAAGATAACACAATCTGTAGAGAATATATCCTCTCGTTTATTGACGTCTATCAATAAGTTTCAGACTCTCATGTATCCTAGCAATATTCTGAGTTTTTTTGAATATTGATTTGATTGGCTATACTAGTAATTCTAAGGGGTAATGCGTCGATTTAGAAATTGTATTTTCAAATAACTCGTACAAGTAGTTCAGTAAGCATACACTATACAGTGTACGAAATGCATCATATATATGGGGGGGATTAGCGCAATGGTAATATGTTGGATTCTCGAGAATAAGCATCGTGTTCGAGCCTTCCCTCCCACAGCACCATGTTTATATAACTCTGTTCTGTTCTAAACGTCGCAAGCTACTCGTTCGTCGATGGTCTATGCATTCCACTCGCATACCAAAATGGTTCGACTCGGCAAGCCATCGCTCATAACTCACGTTATCTATACCCACAGTTTTATATGCTTCATGTTTTGTGCTTTGCTTTAATTGCTTTTCATTCTTTATAAGAAACTCGTTTTCAAAATCATTTGTCCCTTTAGGCCCTATCATGGGTAGAGGGTTAAATAAATATCGCATGAAGGTAATGTCAAATGCATCATATATATGTCTTTCTTTTTTGTTTTATATCACTATTGGTAGGAAAATAAATATAGAAAATACGAGTTGAATCTTGACTGAACTACGCGTGTTTATTGGGTTAGTTAGAGAGAAAAAGTACAATGTATGTTTTAGTTTTCTATATTGTGAAATATTTTAATGATATCATAGCAAAAAAACTGTTGTATCTCAAATTTAAAATCAACTATTTTGCTAAATACCGGCAACATGTTGTGTTAACATACCGTTGAAGATAAGATTCTATCATCCGTCAAGGCATGCCACTTTTTACTTGTTTCTGAATTAACAATATAATGCAAGAAAAAAGGTACAGATGCTATATTAGCTACTTGATTTTCTTCTGTCATGAGTGAACTGAAAAAACTGAATTTCTCCAATTATCAGATGTCTAAGAATATTTGCAACATAGGTTATTTTATGCATATTTCTGCATAGACAAAGGATGTACTATCAAATTTTCTATAATAACTGTAACAAAAACTTCTTATGACTTGTTCTGACGTGGTTTTAGAAAATTAAAATCGAAAATTACTATTTCATCTTTTAAGGCATGGTGCAGAGAGTCTGAACTTTGTTAAACTCGTTGACCCATAATTTTTATTTCATATTTTTTATTGTTTTGTTTGTCACAAGAAGTCAAACAATATCATCGTGTCTTATCTGGAGTACGCACGACCTTTTATTTGTGCCATAAGAATGTGTTGCATACAAAGAATATATATTCTATAAACTTTAAAAAAAAAAGAAGTATGAATTTGCAGTACTAGGTTTATAGAATATATTTACGAGAATAATGGCAATTTGCTAATAAAGAATTTTCGAGTTGGTCAACACAATCTTGTTTAAATTAGTATAGAATTGATGTTATTTTTTATTGCAAAGTATTTGACAAAAAAATGTCTTCTTTGGATAAGGTAGGTCTTTCTTTGCAATAACTGTTTTCACCTACTCAAAATCATCGTAAACACGTAAGAAATTTCTAAAATCTTATTCATCATGTTCGCTTCTGTCGTTCAAGATGGATTTGACTGGATTACTTGATGATTTTCCATTGAATAGATGCACGTGAGCAAGTATGAAATTAACTGAAACTTTGGCTTTTGCAACTAAAATCTATTTCAATTATAAAAAATATTAATTAAGTTTAGATTCACTAATTTACAATCGAATATATTGTTTATATCAATGCATCAGAAATTTTATTTTTGTTTTCTTTCAGATTGAAAATCCTAAACTTCGATGCCAGGAATAAAATTGTACATGATATTCATTTTAGAATGCCTATGGCTTACGTCAATTGAAACGACATCAAAGCTAATAATTGATGACTTTTTCAATTATACGAGTTTTCGATTGTTGAGCTTGTTTCCAAATGGTCAACATTTATTGATTCATACGCGACATCCGGCATGGAATTCCAATTCTTTCAAGAATAGTCTTTGGTTGTATGAAACTTACGAACGTCGAAGCAAATTCATTACAAATAGATTATTTGAAGTAGTGAAACCACAATGGTTACCATATGGAAACTGGATTATGTCAATACTAAATAATATTTCTATAACAGATCCTATAAATGATCAACATCCTTACCGAAATTTATCAAAGAATGCTCCAAAAGTAGAACAGAACATTTGTTTCTATTCTATTGAATCAGATAAATTAATATCGATTCCAATTGCAACCGATATTCCTTTAGCTATAGCATGGTCTGTCAATAATTCATCTCTTTATTTTTCTACGATCAATTCGAATTCAACAAATAAAGACAATACTTTTCATGAAGCCTATTTAGAAAGATGTGATTCAATATCGAGTGGATGAAACCAATGCTGATAGTACAAATCATCGTATCGATATCCACACTCAAAGTCGAATATCTTCTGTAAAAATTGATATCGTGAAGGTTCCTTTTCTAATCAGTGAACTACTGTTTGCTCCATACGAAGAAAAACTCATTTTCACTTCTCTATCAGCTATTGTGAAAAACGGAAATGTTTTTGAAACCCTTGATGGGGAGTAGGGGGACCTCCGCGAAGCTACCCTTCTCCGATAATCACTTCTAATAGTAAGCAGAACCCTAGTCTCAATCCTGTTCATTCTTTGAGAAATTTTGCAAGGATCTGTCAGGATCCTGAATCTACAAGATCTTGTCAAGTTTTGGGTGTGGAGTCCCGGCTCAATTCCTGCTGCCAGGATTTCTCACAGTTATACAGGATCCTGTTTAGAATTTCTTTCCGTTCCTGGCCAGATGTGTTTGTAGATATTGAATACAGGATCCTTCAAGGATTCATTCACAATTCTGCTTAGGGTCGTAACAGGAATAATGGAGAGGATTCTCTCAAGATTTTATCAAATTTTAGACAAGATTGGATACAGATCTTGGTACAACGACCCAGTCAACTTTTGCAGTCAAAACTGAGGAGCATTGCAACAAAAAGCAAACAAGAGAGTATATGAGTGGCT